GGGACCTTTATTGGCTGGCGGCCTCAAGTGTGTTTGCAAGCCCAGCAGCCTTGATGCTTCCCAGAAGCATCAGGGGTCACAGCCAAGTCGTTCCCAAGCAGGCTTGGGGGGGCTCACTGTGCTGCTGGGGTGAGGGGCTGAGCCCACCCTGGGGCTGCCGGTGCCACCTCCTGCTGCTTGGGGAGGGGTCTTTGTGGGTGTTGTCACCTGGCTGCAGGGTTGGGGGGTTGTTTCTTGGTGTACGTGGCTGGGTCCCTGACGGGCTGGTGGGGTTTGTTTGGGGGGTGGGCACGGTGCTGGTTCCTCCTGCAGCAGAGCCTGGGCTTGCTCCCCATTCCCAGCAGGGTGAGGGCTGGGCTGGGGGCTGCTGGTGATGCTGGTTGCTGTAGGGCTGGGGCTCTGCACCCTGTTTTTCCTCTGGATGAGGAAGAAAGGGGTTCAGGTGATCCCGGTCCATGAGAGCTCGGGGGGGGGGGCTCTGTGGGGTTCCCTGGGTCAGGGATCTCTCTGCTGGAAGGGTGGCCTTGCCAAGGCAGAGCGTTTGTACCGGGAGCAGGCAGGATCTGGCCGCGACTGGTTTCCCCAAGAGGGGAAAAGAAACCCTTGGAAACCTCCAGCATCCCGAGCAGGGCTGCAGACCCCTGCGGTGCCCCCTCCTCTCCCTGCTCCTTGCTGGGGGCTCTTTCTTGCACCGACATCGTGCTCCTCCTGCCCCGCACACCTCGGCTCCGCAGGAGAGGGGAGGGGATGGGGGGCCCTTGTGCGACTCCCCACCCCCTTCCCCGGCTCTAAAAAGCAAATCTTTGTTCTTCTGGAGCTCTGGCTGCCGGTCCGCCAGCCAGATGGAAAGGCACGGGGGCTCTCCTCCCTTCCCGGCTCGCTTGCTGCAGGCGTCTCCACATCCCCAGGTCTCCCGATGGAGCCGTGCCAGGCTCTCGGGCTTGCACCCTGCAGGCTGGAGCTCAGCTCTGCTGCTGGGCTGCTCCAGCCCTGCCCAGGTTCCCAAATCCCACGCTGGGCACAGGGGGAAGCATTGCCATGTCCCCCCCAAAGCCTGCTCTGCCAGGGTGACCAGTGACCCTGCCCACGCTGTGAGGTCTTGGGGATGCTGGAGGAAGTCTTGTGTCCTCAGTGTTGTGGGGGCCTTTTGTCCCTGCTGGCTGCTCCTTCCAGCCCAGGAGAGGGCTAGGATCCAGCCTGGATAGATGGGGGAGCCAGGAGCCCTTGTTCCAGGCAGAATGGGGGGGGTTACAGTGTCTGTGTCCACCTCCTCAAGGGCAGTGGATGGGTGGGAGGGACGGGTGCCTCATGCCAGTCCCAGATGCCAGCCATTCTCCAGCCCTGAGCTCATGGTTTCTGCTGCTCCTCTGCCTGCACGAGGGCTCTCATGCCCAGCAGGTCAGCAGGACAGGCCAGCAGCTCTCTCTCTCTCTCTCCCAGGGGTGACCCTGCAGCCAGGGTGAGTGCAGGGGGCAGCAGGAGCAGCCCCCAGCCCCAGCTTCCCCCTGATCTGGGGGTGTCTGGCAGCACCAGGCAGCCAAGTCGTGGCTGTGCAGGTGGGCAGGTGCCTCTGGGGCACAGTTATCTTTTACTCTCTGCCCGGTGTCCTGCCTCCATGCTTATCTTTGGCACCTTCACCTGTTTTTCTAGCCCCTCCTTTCCCGTGCTGTGCTCTCTCCCTCTTTGCTCAGTGCCAGCTGCCCCGCTCCGACGGGATGGGCGAGGGCCAGGGCTGTTGGGGTGTCCTCAGCTGGCTGGTCCTGCAAGCTGGGGCCTTTGTTGTGGCAGCAGGGCTCCTGGCTGCGTTTTGGGGCTGTGCCACCGCATACCTACTCCAGACAAAGAGTGTTTTGTGGGCACAGCATATTACCCTTTGAAGCTGCCTCGCAGGGGAGGCTGCAGGGGCTGTTACCAGCGGCGCTATCAAGGGAGCTGTTGACACAGCTGGCTTCCTCCAGCCTCTCCTCCCTGCTCCCAGCCCTGGGCCAGCCAGTTGGCCCTGTTGCTGGGGGACAGCCTGCTGTCCCCTGCGGGGCTGCCTGCCAGCCCAGGGTGTGCAGCCCCCTCCATTTATTGATTCTTTTGGCACCCAGTTGGTGGCAGTGGCACTCGCAGCCTTGCTGTGATGCAGCCCTGGTCTCTGCTGTGCCCAGCTGGGGCTGCTCTGTTCCCAGCCCCTCTGGAAGATGCTCTGTTCCCTGTCCTGGATCAATAACCTTCCCATACTGCTCTGGAACGTGGCCAGCAGCTCCATTACTGCTGCAGGCTGGGAGGGAAGGTGGGGTGCTGGGGTAGGCAGGCTCTGCTCACTGGGTGTGCAGGTTCCTGGTGCCACCCTGGGCAGCCCTGGGTTGGTTTGGTGGACGGGGGAGCAGCGAGGGGCTGCCTTTGGGTCTGCTGCAGGGGTGGGTGCTCCAGCTGCTGGGTTCTGGGGTTCCTGGCAGCGCCGGAGCTTGGGGAGGGATCTGGGGAGTCCTGTCTGTGCCTCAGCCCCGTGGTGGTCAGGGGTGTGCAGCCTCCCTCTTGCCGTGGAGGGGGGGAAAGGGAGCAGCAAGCAGCTGGATGCTGCCACCCTCCTGAGCTCCTGCCCTGTGTGCCCCGTGGTGCTGCAGGGGAACACAGCTCCCCATTCATGCCCCTGTGCCCGGGGCACTGCGGGGGCCGTGCGGGCTGACGTCAGGACTCCAGTCCCAGGCCATGGGAAGGTGCAGCCTTTTGCTGCCAGCCTCAGGCTCCAGCCCCTTGCCCTGCCCCTGCCAACCTCCTGACACCTCCGTGCCTGGTCCTTGGGGACAGTCAGGGGTGGTGGGTGCTGGTCTGGGGAACGTGGTGGCAGGAGTGGGGGTTGTGCACTCCTGGCTGGGGTCGGGACACGGGGCCTGGGGGGTGGTGGCCCTTCAGGGGATGGAGATGGGGACAAGCCTGTGCTCAGCTCCCTCTCTGGGTCTGCCCCACAGCCGC